CCCCCCCCCCCCCCCCCTCTCTCTCTCTTCTCCCCCCTAGCTCTCAAACTGCCCTTGGGGAAGACCACAGTGATGCATTTAGTTGCCAGAGAGACTTTGCCTGAGCCAAATTCCCAAGGTAACCAGCCCTTCTTTTTCCTTTCAGTGGGCCTTTTCACACGCTGAGCAACTTTAAACGTTCTGCTCCCAGTCATTACACATCTCTACACACTGCTTCTGTTTTAGGAAGAGCCACTGCTGCAAATAATTGGCCCCCTTAAGTGTATCCCCACGATACAGCACATTGTGTAGGATACACAGCGGATATAAATCATGTTAGGTGACAGGTCTCCTGTTTGTGACTGTGTAGTGGAAGACCTGTCTATGTAGAGACAGAGGCTGACTTCAACCTAACTAGTAGTCAGAGTTCAGAGGGACATCTGAGGTTACACAAAGTGCTCGAGTTATTGACTGTCATCAATTTGCTTTACATTCTGGGTAAAATAAGCCCACGGTAAGATAAGGTACGATGAAGAATCACCTCAATTTACTCCAGAAAACCTTTGTCTTGTGGAAGAACAATTACAAGGCATCGTTTATTTATATATATATATATACATATATATATATATATATATATATGGGTATGTGTGTGTGTGTGTGTGTGTGTGTGTTTTTTTTAGATGGTTATTGCGGTCTAGAAAAAACACATTTCTTGCTCCACAACATTATTAGCACGCCACAAAGAGAGCCATGTTTCCCCTCGTTCCACAGTTGCAATTGAAGTAATGATATCCGTTGCCGTCACTGACTTTTAAAATAGAAAACAAAGCTCTTAAGTCTGAGATGACCTGGAGGTTTGGTGGTGGAGTTTCAAGCATTCAGCAGCTTTGTTTTTCTCTAAAACCATCTAAGTCAGACTGGTCTAACCTCAAAACGCAGTGTGTTGCTCCAGGTATCGGTGAGACATAGAATACGATCCAGAAAGACCAGTTTGAGTCACGTATCCAAGAGTTTGAAGGCTTATCAGACTCCAAAATCTTTTAGTTGCAACAGTTGCGAGGTAAACAGTAGAAGTGCAGCGCTCGCATTGTAAAGTCATCTACCAGGAATGTGTGCTTGCATGTATTTGATAGGCCAACATAGCAACTTGTCGGATGATGACGCAGTCTGAACAGGTTTGTCTCGATGATGACGTTTGTGTGTGTGTGTGTGTGTGTGTGTGTGTGTGTTTTTAGGTCAGAGGAATAGAGAGAAGACTGGGGAGAGTAACTGCTGTGTCATTCTGTGAATACACACCACCGCCACCGGCCCTCCATCCTTCTCATCTGTTCTCACCCTCAACATCCTGGACCTACTGAGTTTGTCCCCTGTCCTGAAACGTGTCCACAATGCGGATATGCATACAGACAAACACACGCGCACACACACACTTTTCTCCTTTTGTTTTCCCCCTCTCACACACACAAATAGAAAGACAGCAGGCTCAGACTGATTCGGGACACAGAGTTGGGAGCAGGAAATTGATTAACGAGTTGATTCCTTTGTTCTACTTTTTTTTTTGTGTGTTATAACTGAAAATGAGTGGAAGGAACTGGATTTCCATGTGTTTTTTTTTTCTTTCTTTTCTCTTCTTAATGCACACCTTTTGAAGCCTTCTGCCGTCACACAGACACACACATACATGCAATAGGCCGACACATAAACAACGTGTCGAACCATCCTCGGCTCCTCATTCTAGCTGGTTGTCATAGTAATGCAGTGCCCAAGTTTGTGTGTGTGTGGCCTTGTTTTCTCATACACACCGCTGAGAATTTTAACCACTAACAACTTGCCAACACACACACCCACACACACACGCCCCCTCACACACACACACACACTCTATGACATCCTGTCTACAGATCCAACCATATGTGCTTGTGTGATCTCCCTGGGTGCAGCAGACGAAGCTCAGACGTGCCTGATCAGAGAACTCAAACCAGGACACACACGTACACAAACACACCTGTGTCCTTTCTACTGCCCTCCTCTGCATGTGCCCTGAAAGCTCACAGGAGAGACATTATTCCTTTCTGTCCGCAGAGCGCTGTGGAGACCCAACGCGTCCTGCGTCTTTTAGTCATCACATTCTTAGCCAAACAAAGCCTAACAAACAAACAAATAGACAAACAGCCAATGTTGGGGGTCTTGTTTTGGTTATTTGTTTGTCCATGACATTTGTGACTGTGTTTTGACAGTCTGTGCATATTACTGACCGGCCAGTGTTGTGATTAATATAACGTCATGTCAGTTTTATTCCCTCCCTGATGCACCATCCCTCCGCCTCTCTCTTCGAGGAAAGGCTCATTGTGCTCCTTTTTTTTTTTTTTTTAAACAGTGTTGTGAAGGATCTCTCCGAAAGATTGCTGTCCAAGCAGGGAATTAATTTGGAATGAAAATGTTCCTGATTTGTCTTAATTCGCTTCTTACTCTCTCTTTAATTCTCTCTCTCTCTCAGCATTAATAAGTCCAGTTTGCACAACCGAAGCATGTGCTCCTTCATCAGATTAATAAAAAATGTATAAAAAGTTTTATTGTTTTATTTTATATTTTTCCAATGGAAGTAATGTTCCAAAACATGTTAACGTGTAGAGTATATTTAATATGAATCTTATATAGAACATGATCACTCTAATCTTGTTGATATACAGTATATTGGTGTTATATATAGTCTATGATTGTGTATGCGGTTCGCTCATAGCCAGTTCAGTCACTCGCTGACAATGTCTTGTGCTTAACAGCAGCAAAACCTCCCTAACAATCAACAGACTGTGTTTTTATTTTCTTTTTTCTGTGCGCTTTTATTATTATTTTTTCATTTGTTTATAGTCTAATGTAATCCTTTATTTTTTTCTTTGGGTTTTTTTTGCTTTAAAGAATCGCTTTGTAACAGCACTAGGTCTTAAAAATAAATATTGTTTACGTTTTCAAACCAATTGTAAATAGCACTAATGCTCTCTCCCCCCCCCTCCAAACTCCACAATGGAATACATCTGTAAACTAAATAAAGGTTATTCAAGTGCACTGCCTTTTGTCATGACTGAATCTTTCAAGCATCTCCTGATTTTTGACAGCCTGCTTTCAACAAAAGCTTCAACAGACCGCTACATCAGATGGCCGTTTTTTTGGGCTGACAACTACA